CGCATCGTAACAACCACCGATATATGATGTAGAACGAGCTTGCGCAAGAGACAGAACAACATATTGAATATGAATAAGATATATGGCAACATTTAAGAGTGACCACGCCTGCAAGGCTGAGCCATGCCATCCAATTAATTCCAACTAATTCAATCCACTGATCTCGCCTTCTCTATCGTTGGATTTTTCTCCGCGTTAAACGTTGAATGTCAATTTTCCCAGTTGTTTCGTATTCAGCTTTGAGGATTATGTGGTTAGGGCCCAACGCCACTACAGGCCTACTCAAACACGCTCACTAGATTTCCGTTGTTGCAGATGTTTCTACGCTAACTATTGGTAAAGACCTGCTACAATATCATAATCTATCATCGACACGTGCAAACGGAGGTTAGTAGATGATTTAGTGTGCCATGGATCAGACTTCATTTAGATCGTACAAATGTTCGTTATAACCTATCCTCGTATACAATTATCGACTCAAATTACGTTAGTCAATAACTGAATTTAGACAAGTCAATTAACGGGAATGGCCTTTGAATACATTTATTTTGAATATAAAGTGAATGTGATAGAACAAAGCAAAATGCCGCGCAGGGGAGATGGCTGGTAAGCCAACTTACTCAATATTTATAGGCGGACAAAATAAACTACATACATGTGATGAGACATGGGATATGAAGTGTACACACGTGTACGCTTATATAAAAAACAGTCAAGACTGATAAGTGAATAATTAACAATGTCAAAATATGACTCAAGTAGAATGAATAGATTGTTTTGTCCAAAAACTAGAATAAGATATATTATGGGCTTAAAATGATAACTGACACTACAATGACAATGCTAAATTATCTGTTCGAGTAACTTTATTTTCTGTCTTTAAATTATCCTGTCTCTGTTTAGCACATAATCGACCCATACTATCAAAGGATATTCAAAAATTACTTCGAACTGTACCAAACGCGAGCAGAATTACCGTGTGTAAGCGAAAATGTTGCACAGGAATATAAAAATAATCCATTAATTTCATGCCGCACGCGGAGGTAAAAATAAATTCCCCTAAGCGTGTATGAAGCCAATATACTTTGTACTTTTTCCGTGAGTTATGCACAAAATAGCGATATACAACTTTCAGACATTCTCCCAAGGATTACTATTCAACCCATTAAATAAAAAAAATAATTAACCATGTGCAGAAGAAATCATCAATCAGCACAAATACCTCAAATTTTCATGCTTCGATTTTTTCAGTGAACGTTTAACCTTCCTATCTTGTGACAAATATAGTTCTAAAGTTGCACAATCGCTTCATCTGAGTAGAATAAAGGTGATAAATAGGCTATCAGGACATAATTTCGGCGATCCCGTCGACTAAAAATGTTACACGTGGCTGTGTTTTCAGTTGTCAAGTCTCTGAATATGACACACATTGTTCACATGACAATAGGCCCAGAACAATACAATATGAACTTAGAACAGGTAGCAGTTCTGAATGTAGTATATAATGTAGAAATCATCTCTTATGTTCGAAATATGCTCTAGTAGCAAAAAATGAAGTGGATTTACTTTGGCACTGTCACTTATAAACACCAGCAATTGTATTAGAATAAAAATAAAACTGACAATAGAATAACCAGCAATTGCATTGTAATGAAATGATGACGGGACTACATTAGATTAGCCAAATCGGCATAGCGTGGAAAAATCAATACAGACTGTCCGTAGTGTCAATTAGTCAGAGTGTCTCAAGTATTTATAAATCAATATGATAAGGGGATATAGTCAATACATAGGTCGACTGACAACCAAACAAAGGAATACTGGAGGAATTCTCATATAAGGGTATTCAAATTAATCATACAACAGAGCACAGTTTACTCAATAGAATTGAGCTAATGCATTTGACAGTGACATGCTCAGTTAGATATCGTATTTTAAAATGAATATACAATTATGTTCATTAAACATGTCTGTATTCATTAGAATACTAACTTCTTTTAGTATCAGTATGGGGATTTGTGGAGATTGTAGTACTTAAGCAGCTGAATTCACGATTGGATCAATACTAAACCACCACTGAAAACCTGGAAGCACTGAAGCACGGTTTCGTCTTCAAATTGTACTGATACGAATATACGGGAAGATTAGCTGACAACTAACGATGAATCTGGTTTCTTTAGAGTATGGTAATACAGTTTAAGAAGTACTTATTGAACAGTCATTTTGTATAAGAAATATTTCATCACAGTCCCAATTAAAATTCGTGCATTCACGACAAATACTACTTAAATTGAATAATTTCAGTTTTAGATAGGAATAATCCTGAGTATCTATTATGACAGATCAAGTTAAATAAACAGTGCGAATTTCATCATTTTGCAATTGTAGAAAGGATGAAATTTTGAAGATTTTTTTATAGGCTAACTAAATTATACGTTAGTATTTGGATTATTTTGCTTAAAATGGGCTATTTCATATTGTGGTGTGGGTTACTTATGTCCATATAAGTAGTGTATAACAGTGGTCAGGCATAGAATGTATTTAAGCAGAAGATCGATAAGGAAAGAACGGAAACGGAACGCAATAGGTATGAAAATGCATGAGCAATGAAATCTGAGACAATGGACTGATATTTATAAAAGAAACAGTGAATTTTGAGACGATGGACTGATATTTTGCGATGTTTTGTTCACTACAATATTACTCTCAATTAAGCGACTTTTATTATTGTGTATTATTGTTCTATATTTACTAATGAAAATCTTATCCTGTCGTCTAGTAAATATCTTCATCTAAGATGGTGGTTGAAGGTAGTTGATTGAAAACCCTAAACTCAAGTTTCCTCCTACATGACACTTGTTAGATAGGTGTGACTATAGTTTTGAGGGAATTGATGGTACCTGGCGAACTCAGTAAAATACCACTCAGCTTCATAATAATAAACATTACCATTAAGCTATTCAGGACTGAGACTTATTGACAGTTGATTGATCATTGAGTAATGACCTATGTAATAATATTGGTCACTACTCAATGGTCTGTGAATTGTAAAATATCTTCATTTTGTGATATCCGCATCTTGTGTCCTGTTGATAGATTAAAGCTTTCTATGCTCAAATTTTAAGAGTTTCGAACCATATACCTACTCTTTGGTCAATGATTTTCAATATTATCACAGGCGTCATCTGTCATTACTTAAAGCATTATATAATGTATAAACAGTAAGTATTTAGTGTGCTTAGCTGAAATTATTAATTTATTTGGGCACATCCATCTTGATGCAAGAGGGCACCAGATACATATGCGCCACGCAAATCTCATTTGTTTTGTGTGACGGCTGTGATACTGCGTGGGTGCCCAAACCGAAGCAGATGATTTTCTTAAGGAGCTACACCCGGAGCATTCGACCTAAAGGTCTGATCCACAAGGAACTGGAGCATAGTGAGATGTATTCTCATGGTGGTCGGTAAACAACGATTGGTTCATACGCCATTTGTTCTCTCAGGATACTGGAGATCATGTGCATCATTGGTTTAGAATCAAGGTTTTCCAACTCCCTTAGTTGGATTCTGTGTGTCTATCAACCCGGTTAAAGCGCTGGACATTCGTTTTTCGTCCTCTCAATTTCGTAAACAACACCCTTGCCACGAGAAGGCAGTGAGTAGAACTTTATTGACAGAGGCTATGTACGCGTGGCCATGAGAGAACATTTCGAGAGTCAGAGTGACCTCTCCCCACTCTCGGCTGTACCAGAGCATTTGGGGGCGCTTAGCTGAAATATTGAGAGAAGTTTAACTTTACCTTTACAGTAACTAACATCATTTGAGGAACATGTAAATAAACCAAAAAAAAATTTTCTTTAATTTAAATTTAAAAAAATATATTTGATTCAAATCTACAAAATAGAAGGAATTACCCCCCAAATGTAAATTCATTAAATTCAACAACCATAATAATAATAATAACAATACAATCTAATTCACTACATTCTCTTTGTTTTTTTCTTTTTTCTTTTCTTTTTTCGTTTTTTTTCTTCAAAATTTAATTCTCATCATTTTTATCATTGAAGATATTGAACATTGAAATGTAGTGGTTTATTCACTTTATGCATCTTTGATCAATATACACATAGATACAAGAAAAAAATGTGTGTTTTTGTATACATATATATTTTTTCTTTTTCTTTTTTTTCCTTTTAAAAAGAGAAGAAAGAGTAAAGGGTTTATCAATAAAAAATAAGTTGAGATTCTAAAGTATACAAAACAACTTTCTTGTTGTTGTTGTTGTTGTTACTGAGGAAAGATAATGTTAATTCTAACTACATCTCATATATAACTAAATCATAACATGATCTAATTATTTAATGATTAGTACATCTTGTCTGGTAATAATGAACCATTCACTCACTTACATACACACATACATACACAAAATTAGGTGAATAAACATGTGTGAAGATACTTTTAGAAATGTTACAATCAAACAAAATAATTTCCATCCAAATTCTTCTCTTTGTACATGAATAGAAATAAGAAGAAAATGATAGAAAAAAAAATACAAAACAAAAATGATGTCTGAGAAAAAAAAGGAGAAAAAGGAACCCATTTCGATAGAAGTGAATGTGTATCGTTTTAGTGAATGTATACAAAATGAGTGTATATATATATATATATCAGATGGGTTTTGTAGAGATTGTAGTAATTTCAATGGTTTAGATCATGAGTCAAGTTGAAGCTAGACCACCATGGAAAACCTGGAAGCAATGGACAGCCGTTTCGTCTTATTGTGGGAATCCTCAACAGGGGGGGGGAAGTCATGGATGCGCACTGCTGAGGAGTCTCACAATAGGACGAAATGGCTGTCCAGTACTTCCTGGTTTTCTATGGCGGTGTAGCTTCAACTGACTCATGATCTTAACCATTGAAATACATATATATATTAATGAGTAAACCATGTACATATCATATGTCTATGTATATATTGAAATTACAATATCTATTTTAATTAAGATCATGTGATATAGATGGATGTTTATGTAATAATTTTTTAATTGGATTAGATTTTGGTGTTTCTGGTGAAATTTGTCTTGAACTAGTTAAACTTTGACTACGAAAATCATAATTACGTGGTGGTAATTGAAATGTCACTACACGATTCTCTGGTGAATAATGATGTGTTCTACCATATTGATGTAAACATGGACGTGAATTCATTATTGTTGTTGATATAATAGATTTAGAAGGGGATAAGCCATCTTTTGAATTTTTAACATTATTATTACTAATACTGTTATTATTATCATTACTATTATTATTATTATTATTGTTACTATGAGCAATGTTTGTTTGTGTTGAAGAGACAGTATCATTCCCAGCAACTGAATGTATCGTTTTCAATCGTTTCTCATTATTATTATTATTATTATTATTACTATTATTAGAAGTATTAAGATGGATGGATTGATTATTGAATGAATTTTCATTTTTAATAAATAATTTAATAAATTCAATAAAATCTTTTTGTATTCTATCAAGTTTTTGATTCATTTGTATCAATTCTGATTTGATTAAAGTAATATCATTTTGTGTTTGATAGAAATTGATATAAAGGGTTGAAATCAGCTGATTTTGTTTTGTTACTTTATCATTAGTATTATTACTATTACTATTACTACTACTATTATTATTATTATTGTTAATAGTAGTAGTGGGAGCAGGAGTAGGAGGAGGAGGAGTAGTAGTAGTAGTGGTAGTATTGTTAATGTTGTTTGAATTGATGAACACATCATTTATTTGATTGTAATTTTCATCTTGATCGTAACTGTCAGTATTATAACTGTTAAAATAATTAAAAGTAATACAATGAAAGTGAAATATTTATTTAAACTTATTATTATTATTGGTGTAAAAATAAATGTACTCAAAATTGCAACAATCAGTTGCCACACTTTGCCCCCAAATGCCCTGGTACAGCCGAGAGTCCACTCTCTTTCTCGAAATGCTCTCACATAGCCACGCGTATATAGCCTCTGACAGGAAAGTTCTATTCACTGCCTTTTCGTGACAGGGATGTTGTTTACGAAATTGAGAGGACGGAAAGTGAATTTCTGGCGCTTTAACCGGATTCCAAACCAATGGTGAACATGGGCTGGCTCCAGTATCCTGAAGGAACAAATGGTAAATTAACCAGTCGTTATTCATTGGCTCCCATGGGACTGCATCTCCTTACGATGCTCCACTGCCTTGTGGGTAAGACCTTCAGTTCGAAGTCTCGGGGAATGACCTCCTAAGAAAACCACTTGTTTCTGTTTGGGTACCCGAGCAGTATCACATCCCTCACACAAATCAAATGAGATTAGTGTGGCGCATATTTATTTGGTGCCTCCTTGTACCAATATCTATGTGTTAAAATAAATAAATAAATACTCACAATTGATTAGAAATGATTGATAATGTTCTGGAAATGAAATTGTATTTATAGTGGTCCAAGATTTGACTTTATTTGGATTATGAGATGGTGGAGATTTATAGTTCAGGTGGATCATTTTGATAAAGTTTTATTCTTTGAGCTGAATGATTTGATTGTAGAGCTTTCATTATTCTTCTGAACGACATTATCAGTACAAACTTTAGGTAGAAGTGAAGTGTAGTTATGTAATGATTAAGTTTTTAATGAATTACAAGTTTGATATAATATATAAGCTAGGGTTATGATATAATTACTCATCAAAAAGATATAGACATTTATAAATAGTTGTCTACGTAAGATACTGAATGTACGTTGATCGGATATCATTAGTAACAATCTACGATGAAAGAGAACAAACCAACTTTCAGCTGAAGAGGAAATTAGGAAAAGATATTAGAAATGATTAGGAAATACATTGTGGAAATCATCAAACTGCATCACGAGGTGAGCTCTAACATTAAATCCTGAAGGGAAGTGGAAAAGAGGAAGGCCAAAGAACAGATTACGTCGGGAATTGGAAGCAGACGCGAAAATGATGAATATCATCTAGAAACGACTGGAAAGGAATACCCAGGAGAGGGCTGAACGTAGAATGCTGGTGAAAGGCCTATTCTCCTAGACGACGAGTTAAGACGTAAGTACGCATTTAAGTAACTTGACCTTAAACCTGTCAAGTAAACAATGATAAGTTTAAGGTCAACAAGAACCAATCAACATCAAGGTGTACAGGGCAAGCGGGGAACCCGATGTGAAGAAATTTAAACACTTCTCTTCTACCTGAAGTTTGTTCTGATGATGTCGTTCAGAAGAAAGATGAAAGCTCCCCGACCAAACCATCCAGCCCAGAGAACAAAACTTCAACAAAATACGAATGATTGCTATCAATATATATATATATATATATATATTCTTGTATTTGACTTATTTAACTGCGTTATACACCAATGTGAGTTAAGTCGATAAAAATATACGAGAATAGACAATATGTATATTTCAATAACAATCAATTATACTATCTACTTGGAGTCAGATCTAGACAAAAATATATTTATATCATCTCCATATTCCAGTAAAATAAGGAAATGATTCTTTGTTTTAGGACCTATCTAAGTATTGAATTTGTCAGCTCTATTATCAATAACATTTAGTATATTTCATGATTACTTTATTGTTTATCAATTTATTAATTGAATTCATGAGTCAATTGAAACTAGACAACCGTGGAAAATCTGAAAGCACTGGATGGCCATTTCGTTCTGTTGTGGGACTCCTCAACAATGCACATCCACGACTTAATAATAACTTAAATCCTGTTTATTTCTCACCATAATCAGAAATTCAATTGGTGTTGTTTTACATGTATCTTCCAATCGTTATTTAGGACTGCGGTTGATCAGTCTCTTATTGGCCGATATGCATCCTGTGCGGATTGCCTGGATATAGCCTTAAGTCACAAGCGTTTTAAGCAAAGATGGATAGTGACTAACAAGATTTTGATGGAGTTGTTCTCTGAGCTGGATGATTTGGTCGTGAAGAATGGATGTACCTGCAACTCAGAATTGATGTTCACGCTGGGAGTCAAACCCAGCACCGTTCGCTTGAAACACCATCGCATTATCCACTTAACTACTGACCACTGATAGCTACCTGCTTGTGAAATGAGGTGAAGTTTAAACATCAATTCTAAGATTCAGGTACATCCAGCTAACGAGTCCCAAATAGGACGAAACGCGCATCCTGTATTCCACTACTACCAACTATCCATCTTTGCTTAAAATAATGTACTCTTTGTTTTATGAACTCAGTTTAGGGATTATTCCAACAGACTACTTATGACTTATATTCTAAATGTTCAATCATATTCTGTATTTTAAAAAATTGTCTTATATGAAACATAGTGAAATTCCTTCATCTAGCACTAAATAACATTAAGATTTCAAATCTGAAAAAAAAGATATTTGCAAAGAAAATTTCGATGAGACTATCATTTATGGACGATCTTTATGTGACATTCAAGTGATCTTCAGAGTATTCACATGATAACTACAAACAAATGAGGGTTATAAACCTGTATTAGGAATTCGAGTTATGATTTATAGTTGATGATTAAGGTTAGAAATAAGATTTAGAGGTTTCATCACAAACTAACATCAGCTATGAATGCCAAAACTCTATTTAACTAAATGAATGAATGAATGAATTTCGCATCCAAACATCCGAAACCTGTTATCTTGTTGTTATATCCCAATAAGAATAATGAATGATAGTTTTTGGGATCCATTTATGGACCAATATTAACGTATACTTGTATATTCATGTCATTCTTATTATGAGTTTTATTTTGACCTATGAACTATTATTATACGATTTACCATTCTTGAATTATGCCTTGTCTGTTAATTACTACCTCCCTCATTCACAGCCGCATTTGGCTAAAGATTGTACAAATGTTGTTTCCTATTTTATGGTAAGATGTGGTCTGTCTGGTTGGTACCTAAACCAAGTATGTTTGAAATACATGATTCATATTGCAGAGACTGTGAATGATGTTCTGGACTTAACAGGCATGGTTAGGCGGTAAGCAGGACTGATAAGGACTGTAGACTGGTCGTACGTGTTTTATTCATTATTGGTCCGATCGATAATTCACTGTTCTCTAATTAGCGGTATCGTGGCGTTATCCAACATACAAGGCATACAGGCCCACAAGTTATAACATACTTGTAACATAATTGATTCATTTATCAATTATGATCTCAATTCAGTCAAATCAAATAACTTACATAGATTCATTTCGAATATAAGTTCTAAATGATTTACCAATATGATAAATATCATCGAATGATTTACATTTATAATTTAAGTATAATGTTTTAATATTCATTTTAGATTTGTCCATAAGATTTTCAAATGAATGAAATGAATTCATAATTGGATAATGAAAGTAAAACTTCGTCTTAGATTCATTATTATCCCAATTATAATTATTACTACTATTATTAGTGTTATGAGTAGTATGAATAGTAGTATTAATATTGTTTGTTTTATTCAATTGATTCAATTGTTCAATAGATAAAATATGATTCAATTTATTGAATTTTTCAAAATGTTTTGTATATAAATCTAATGAATTTTGTTTGATATGAATAAAATTTTTTTTAATTTTTTGCGAAGAATTTAAATTTTCAAATAGTTTTATTTGTTTCTCATTGAATTGGTTGTCAAGACGATGATCGTTTAGAGAGTTTTTTAAATTTTTTGTTTTTATATTTATGAATTGTTTACCTAATTCATGGGTCATAGTTCTATCATCGTCATCATCATCGTCATCATTATCATCATCATCATCATCATCATCATCTTCATCGTCGTCTTTCTTGTTCACTGATGTTTTATTCTGTGAATTAGTTAGTAAAATGCATTCATCATTGATTATTTCATGAGATTTATTACTAATATCATCATCATCATCGGAATGATCTTCGAAATCTGTATTCTTATCAGTAGTGACAGTGATTGCGGGAATCAGCTCTAAAGATGACTAAAATAAACAAAACAAGAATTAAATTACAAATGATGTTAGGTAAGGACTATAAATAAGTGAGTTTTGTCTGTTTTATTTTTCCTATTTATATACAATGAATTGAGTATTATTCAACTATATTGTGTTTAAATATATTGATATATATGATATTCCATGGTAAACAAAATGTTTTGATTATCAGTATAGGGGTTGTGGAGATTATTAAGTTTTTGACTGAGATCATGAACTGATTGAAGCTAGACTATCAAGAAAAACATGGAACAACTGGACGGCCATTTCGTCCTATAATGGGACACCTCAACAGTGCACATCCACGACCCAGCTCGCGAGACTCGAACCCAGAGCCTTCATTCTTGCGCGTGAACGCCCAACCTACTGGACCACTGAGCCGACCGGCATCCAGTGGTGTTACTGTCTAACATCAACCAATCCCGCTAGCGGGATCGTGGATGCGCACTGTTGAGGAGTCCGACTATAGGACGAGTTTGCCGTCCAGTGATTCCAGGTTTCCAACGGTGGTCTAACATCAATTGGTTCATGATCTCAATCAAAAATGTGTTGAAATAGATTTATATTCTTCTTGGTATATTTCACAGCCTGACATTATTATGAAGCGATATCTATTAGATAATAGCTATTATTTCAGCTTCAAAGTTTAAAGTGTATAAGATATCACTTGAAACTGGTGAACGAAATGAAAATCAGCAACATAACAACAGGAGAAGCTAAGCTATTCTACTATACCTCATACCCCCAAATGCCCTGGTATGACCGAGAGTGGAGAGAGTGCGCTCTCCCTCTCGAAGCACTCCCACACGACCAGGCGTATACAGCCTCTGCCAGGGAAGTCCTACTCACTGCCTTCTCGCAACACGGGTGTTGTTTGCGAAATGGAGAGGACGAAAAGCGAGTGTCCGGTGCTTTAACCGGATTCCAAACCAATGGTGAACATGGGCTGGCTCCAGTATCCTGTGGGAACAAACGGCGTATAAACCAATTGTTGGTCACCGGCTACCATGGGATTGCATCTCCTTACGATGCTCCACTGCCTTGTGGATCAGACCTTAAGGTCAAGGTCTCGAGGTGTGGCCTCCTAAGAAAACCACCTGCTTCGGTTTGGGCACCCGGGCAGTATCACAGCCCTCACACATATCTGTGTGGCGCATATGTATTTGGTGCCTCCTTGTACTAATACTTATTTGTTAAAATAATAATAATAATAAAAATAATAACTACATCTCATCCTTGTTAACTAGAAGGAGAAGATTAGATGTATATTCCACAAGCAGTCAGAAGTTCGAACGAACAAGCATACAACTTATGCGTACATAAACAGTATAAAAATGTCCTTGGTAAACGTCATGAAATCGTGTATTAAAGAAGGGAACAAACCAATGAAATTTATGGTGTCCTTCCAAGTGGGTAAGGTAAATAAGAGTGCGTTTGACGCAAAAATGAGAAAATCAATTGTTCAAAATAAACTTACAAAAATAAGACGTTTACTAAGTGATTTCTAGGGATCTAGCATCCCCAGCCTTCTGTTATACCAGTGTTATTACATATAGAAGTAAGGTCATGTTATTGTAACTGATAGAAATCTGTGAATATAATATCGATCAAAACTCTTGTGAGTTCTAATGTGTACTCAAAAAAATATATTTCACTATAGGTCTCTTGTTAAGAATGGGTAAGTCATAATGTTACCATCCATCATAACGATGCCAGCAATAATGTTTCCGAAAATTCACTAAAGAAGTAGCTATAAAATCATGTCCATGATATCACATATACCGACTATGACGTTGTGTATGTTGAAAAGACAGACAGAAAACTGATTGTAAAATTCCAGGATAAATATTTCTCAATCTTCAGAAAATAGCACAAAGGTAGAGTGTAGTAAGATGATAAGATTATATTTCATAGAAAATATAGGATTGTTTAAGACAAAACTAAAATTCAACATAACTCCACCCTGGAGTCCATCTGAGCTCTATAACGTTTATTGAAAGCATTTTTATTACTTCAGAACCTGAGTAGACGCTTTACATGATCATTTCAAAATTATAATGTTACTAACGATGTTTCGAATGAAAGAAACACAACTCTTAATCAGTTTGTGAATTGATCAAGTAGTTTATGACTTTTCCTATATATTCAAGTAAACTGTTCAGATCTAAATGATGTAAACATTTAGACAGCTTTTAAGCAAATTGTTTTTCCATAGCTCAAAGGCTAATTATGTCATATGGAAACTGATTAACTGTGTGTTGTATATGATAGCTCCAGTAGACCAGTGGTATTTGGTTTTTGAAATGGGTGTTATCAGGTTATTTGCAGATCAGTGATTATAAAAAAAGTTAGGAAAGAAACCCTCTCCCGCCCCCCGAAAAAATGCGAAAATGCCGATATCAAATGGAGACAAGTAGGAACCTACCACCAATTTATGTATGTATTGATCCTACATGGTATTTTAGGAATTAAAAGTAGTTTGAAATTAGAAGTAAACAATAGTTTAATTGAATGTTTTCAATTTTCTTAAATGAATAAACTTCACAGGTTACTCACAGTTATATTTAGAAGATTCAGTAGTAATGACAATTATATATTAATTATAGTAATGTTCATTGATTTAAGAGTCAATATATTCAGTGATGGTGGAGAAGATTTGTAGCTCAGGTGGATGATTTTGGTGGAGTTTTGTTCTCTGAGCTGGATGGTTTGGTCGTGGAGCTTTCATCGTTCTTCTGCACGACATAATCTGAAGTTTGTGCTGATGAAGTCGTTCAGAAGAACGATGAAAGCTCCACGACCAAACCATCCAGCTCAGAGAACAAAACTCCACCAAAGTCAATATATTCAGTTTGTATATGTAGTTTTATTGTTCTTATAGATCATTTCCTTTCCCACAGAACTAATAAAAATTGATTAAAATAACCCCTATACTGATAATTAACATGTACTTAGTAGTGACTAACTTTGTGAAGGAATTCTCGAAGTTCTAGTGAGAAGCCGTGACCAGTGGAGCTAATCCGTGTCGGGTAGAGACAGGTCCCTAGCTCAGTACAATGGAAGATGGTCGCGCAATTTCGTGGATTGGTTGATGTTAGATGCTGACTCAGTTGTCCAGTAGGTTAAGCAATCGCGCGCAAGACTGAAGGCCCTGGGTACCAATCCCGCAAGCAGGATCGTGCATGCTCACTGCTGAGGAGTCCTACAATAGGATGAGTTGGCCATCCAGTGCTTCCAAGTTTCCAAAGATGGTCTAACATCAATCGGTTCATGATTTCAATCAAAAACTTAATAATCTCCACAACCCCTATGTTGATGAATAAGATTATTGGTCTATTTATGAATGTTCATGAAAACTTGGTAAACATAAAACTTGGGAAATAAACAAAATTAATGGTAGATATATTATTGGAAATACTTCACTATGTACAACTATAGCATAAGTCCAATGCCTATTCCATTTACTACATTTCGGCAATTTCAATAATTCCAGGACATTTCAAAACCGTTATGAAAATTCTCTATTCACAATCCACTCAACGAAATATTAACCATACTTTAAGAAAAATTACAAAATTTCCACCAAGTAGCCATATGTAATGATAGAATGCAGTCATATCATGAATAGGATAGTAATCAATTAATTGAACTCATGAGTCAGTTGAAGCTAGACTACCATGGAAAACCTGGAAGCATTGGATAGCCGTTTCATCCTAATATGGGACTCCTCAGCAGTGTGCATCCACGATCCTGCCTTTCAAAATGAGAACCCAATGACCCATCAGTCCTGGTTGAATTTAGACATTAACACCACTGGATGCCGGTCGGCCCAATGGTCCTCGGTTCGAATCTGGCGAGGAAGGATCGTGGATACGTACTGGTGATGAGTCCCACAGTAGGACGAAACAGCCGAGCAATGCTGCCAGGTGTTCCTTGGTGGCCTAGCTTCAATCGACTCATGAATTCAATTATTAAATAGGTTACTTATTACCAATGACACTGAATGATACATTTTTTTGTATATAAATATTAATTAATGAATAAAGAACTCACAGTTGGATCGAATCCAGCTCTTAAATTAAATGATAATTCTTCTGAAATGGCTAAAGCAAATTGTTTTCTAAATTGTGGATATTGATCAAATATTTCTTGTAATTGATGATCTAATGCTATACATTGTAATTCACAATATGTTAATGATTTAACATTATAAGCTGAATATCCCAATATAGGCAAATCATCCATATCACTACCAAATATATCACATTTACCTAAGATTATAATAATGATAAAAATGAAAAGAAAAAGAAGAAGAAAACAGATGAAAGAAGGAATACGAAATTAAGTTTCATACACATAGTTCCCTTTATTATTTTAAAGAGAGTAAGAACAAAGATTGACATAATTATACATAAGAGGGTGATTAATGGGAGATTACTTGTGTATCATGATGTAGCGAAGATTCCGACAGAGTTAATGAGGTCATAAAAATTGTTTATTTCGAATAAATAAAGTTTGGGAGGGTTGGTTCCAGAACACTGAAATAGTGATTAGAACTCATGGCAGTTACATTGGTAGAATAGAAAGGAGAGCCTACGTCCGATTCAAAGAACATATTCCGAAGAGTTTAAGATGAAACAGACTAAAAACATTCAGCAATGCCATCGCAAGACATCTCCTTGACATAGGACACGAAGTCGATACATTGAAGTCCATCATGGTGATTCATAAACAATCAAATTCAAACCTTTTGAAATTTGACGAAACAATAGCAATCAAACGTCTAAAATCAGATCTATGGATACAAAAAGAGACAGTAATAAACCTTTCTTTACCTTGGTAACATTACCCCCCCCCCTTCAATCAATTTATTTATTTATTCCAACTCTTTCTGGATTCTAAAATTACATAACTGACTGATTTGAATTTATATCTTTCTTTATTAACATTAATCTATTTTCATGAGTTATAATCATTATTTCAATGTTCTGGAACTTTCCCTCTCAAACTCTATTTATTCGAAACAAACAATTTTAATGACCTCATTAACTCTGCCGGAATCTTCGCTACACCATGACACACATGTATTCATCCTTAATCACCTTCTTATGTATCAGTATGTCAATATCTGTAATAATGTTGAATTTCAAATATTTTAGGTTGTAAGCAGCTGATGAGAACCTAACGAAATAAAATGAATCCATTTATTATTCTGCACCAATCTTTGTTCTTGCTCTCTATAAGGAATTAAATGTCCTAGTTGTATTATTTATTTGCACTATGATCAATCATGAAGCATTTACATCAATGAAGTTTTCAAATATCTATCTTATTTAGTTAAGAGAATGAAAATGATGGTTATTTAAAAGCTCTATGCCTGTTTATTGAATATATCTAAGCTATCAAATAAATGTGAAGAAAAGAATCTAAGTGATTTATTGTATTTGTTTATTTATTTTATTTTAACACAGATATTGGTACAAGGAGACACCAAATACATATGCTCCACACAGATATGTGTGAGGGCTGTGATGCTGCCTAGGTGCTTAAACCGAAGCAGGTGGTTTTCTTAGGGGATCATTCCCCGAGACTTCGACCTTAAGGTTTGATCCACAAGGCAGTGGAGCATCGTGAGGAGATGCAGTTCCATGGTGGCCGGTGACCAGCGATTGGTTCATACATCATTTGTTCCCACAGGATACTGGAGCCAGCCCATGTTCATCATTGGTTTGGAATCCGGTTAAAGCGCCAGACATACGCTTTTCGTCCTCTCCATTTCGCAAACAACACCCGTGTTGCGAGAAGGCAGTGAGTAGGACTTCCTTGGCAGAGGCTGTATACGCGTGACCATGTGATAGCATTTGAAGAGGGAGAGTGGACTCTCCCCACTCTCGGTCATAACAGGGCATTTGGCGGCGATTTATTGTATTCCGTCTAATATACCTTATAGTTTATGTATGTATCATTAACATATGACCAAAGTAGTTGGTATCTACTTTAATCCATTAGAAACGGGTAATAAGCACTTTCCTTAATGTATTCAACAATTAAGAAACCTTAGAACAGTTTATAAATCATCAATTATCTCTCCCTTTCCTTTCAGTTATTTTTTTCTCTAGTTTTGTTTTTTCTTACACAATTGGTACATTTCTACATTCATTCATATGTCACTTAATAGAAAGATTTATCAATTCTCATAATAGATATTATATAATCGTTTAGTTCAATACATGCTTGTACCGCTTTATCCATTTATCTCTGACTAATTTTTAATAGTAGTCACTCTATCCATTGCATCGTTCATTGAGTTCACTATTGATTTTCACAAGCACACTTTTAAATTTGTAACATCAACATCTAACAAATGAACATATGACTGGTATTGTGGTGTGTGCTACTGATACATATAGATATAAGTAGTATGTATCATTAATCGAAAGTGAAATACCTGGTGACAGAAGGTTAAGAAGATCGAAGGAAAGAGAATGAATACAGAGAATGATTGTTGTGAAAGTGAGAACCCTGATTCCAAACTAATGGTGCACATGGGCTCCAGGATTCTGAGGGAATAAAAGGCGTATGAACCTGTTGTGGTCACTGGCTACCATGGGACTATATCTCCTAAGGTTGCGCCACTGCTTTGTGGATTGGACCTCTAGGTCAAAGGCTAGGAATATGACCGCCTAAGAAAACTACCTACTTCAGTTTGGATACCTGGGGAGCATCACAGCCCTCACACAAATCAATGATAACTGCTGCTGGCCTCATTGTTATTGTTTGGCGCATATGTATTTGGTGCCCCCTTGTGCCGATGTTTATTTGTTCAAATAAACAAACAAATAAATACATTTTGACCTAGCCAATTATTTGCTTATTGACCCTGTTTTTAATATGATTGTATTTGTGTTAATTACTTACATTATTCATCATGTGTCTGCAATTTATTCTTTTTTGGATTTAAATATTGAGTGACACTTTATATAATGGAGTTGGCTCACTCATCTTATCCACTGCATGTCATTTCATTTCGGTTTCTTCGTTTCGTCCACCTGATCGTCTGTCCTGATCAACGGTTGTATGAAATATACATATTCGAAATCCATCCCCTTATTTGACTTATGTAATCTTGTTATTTAGTGATGCGATTTAAGTTCATGGTTATATAAAAGACAGTTCTACTGTATGGGGCGGAATCTCGGAGAGCTACGAAAGCAATCATCCAGAAGATATAAGTATTAATCAACAGTTGTCTATGCAAAACAATTCGGATCCGTTGACCGGACACTATTAGGAACAACCTACTGTTGTAGAGAACAAACCAGATCATAGTATAGGTAGAAACGAGTAAGAAGTGCTGGAGGTGGATAGGACACACATTGAGGAAAGCACCCAATCGCGCCACAAGACAAGCCCTCACATGGAATCTCCAAGGCCAAAGGAGAAGAGGAATACCGACGAACACATTATACCGGGAAATGTAGACAGACATGAGAATAATGAATAACAATTGGATAGAACTAGAAAGGAAGGTGGAGGACAGAGTGTGTTGGAGAATGCTGGTCGGTGACCTATTTTTCACTGGGGGTCAGCAGGCGTAAGTATGTAAGGAAGGGAAAAAAGGTATAAATGGTGTATAATTTTTAGAAATTTAAAATTTAACTACTAGTAATTCGATAAATTAAGTGAAGAAAAGTTTTCTACTATCAGGAGATAGAGATAAAAAAATTTCGACGAATTTTCAGTTTCATTGAATAGTAACTACGACACTGAATTTAAAAATTTCTCAAAATGTATACTACTTGTAAGTAGATGAATATTATTGACAAAAATGAATCAGTAACATAAAGGGTATTTTGTGGATATTATAGTGGTTTTAATAGTTGAGATCATGAGTCAATTGAAGCCATACTACCATGGAAAGCCTAGAAGCATTGGATGACCGTTTCGTCTAGAAATCTAGAGGTTAAGTGTTTGCACTCAAAACCGATAGGTCCTCGGTTAGAATCTCACGAGGCGTGATTGCCTATGCGCACTGCTAACGAGTCCCCCACAATTGGACGAAAATAGCCGTCCAGTGCTTCCATGTTTTCCATGGTAGTCTAGCTTCAATTGATTAACTATCTCAACTATTAAAAATGAATAAGGTTGATTCAATGGACTCAGATTTAGTAAAGTAATAATATGAATAGAGGATATTCTTGAATAATCCTTTAAGTTTTAACAAAAATAACCTTTCATAAACCATCCTAATGAACAGAATAGTACTTTTGTTTTATATCTACGTTAGACAGCCATTAAACAATTTTCTACAATAATACAGAACATCATTTATTTTACAGAAAAAGTAACGTGTAATTTATTATTGAATAAAAGTTCATACAACTAAAGTCATATGGTAACTTGTGAACTAAAAGAAGAATTTATTTAAGTAGTATAGTAATATTCTTTAAAAATATTCCCAACAAATGTTTCAGGCAGCTTAAATTTCAAAAATAAAGTTATGTAATGAAGTGAATTTAAATTAAACGGTATATCTATGAATAAGTGACAAAAGTATAGAATATTTTAATAAAATATGAGAACTATACACTAAGTCATGTGCAAATTTCCATTATTTACCCTTGACATTTATTATTATTATTATTATTAATGGCTTTATTCAATATTATATTTTGGTACAATATAGAATTCTCAGCACAGGGTATTTCAACAAGTTACTTACTGAACAACGAACAAAAAAGGCAGTAGCGAATACATAAAGAAATATATAAAATAAAAATTTTAAAAAAAAAACCCCAAAAGAAACTACAAACTTTTAAAATTAAAGACATGTTAAGAATGCAAGTTATTGACTAAGTTAATTCTAACAACCTGTTCGTCACAGAGTATATTTGCTAGGTAAGGTATAATAGAACTTTTATACTTTTCCTTGCGTGCAAGGATTTTAATGTAATTACGTCTCGTTCTACCAGAAGATAGACAAGGAGAAAGATAAGAGTGAAGGGGATGGCTAGTATCTGATAAAATAACACCTGCCAGGAGTTTGCATGATTTTAAATGTCTATCCACAACCATATTAATTATGATCTCGAAAGATTCACCACACGTCTTACTAACTGCCTTTAGCACTCTCCTTAATAAAACAAAGTCTTTTCTCAAAAGCTCGGGAAGAAATATTGGAGAACAGTAAAGAATAATAGGTAATATGCAAGAATTGACAAATTGTAAGAGTAAATGTCGAGTAATCCCAAGAGCATGCAATCTCTTTATGTAGTAGGTCAGACGGAAAACCTTCTTTGATAACGATAAAACGTGGGAAGACCAAGACAGATCAGAGGAAAAGGTGACACCAAGATAATTGACCTTCGACACCGCGTTTATCAAAGAGTCTCCGATGGTACAAGCACTATGGGATCTCAAAATAGTGTTTATATTCCGTTCATGTCTCATACTAAAGTTAACAGCTTGACATTTAGATGGATTAAGTATGAGACCATTACCAACAGACCAACAATCAATACGAGACAAAAACTCATTCATTTCTATGGGATGTAAAGAGGAAGATATAGGCATACATACAGTGAGATCATCCGCGTACTTCACAAAAGTGTTTTCTGTGGAAGATGGCAGGTCATGCAGAAAAAAAGAGAATAGAAGAGGTGAAAGAACAGCTCCTTGTGGTACACCTTCCTGAGACAGTAGAGAATCTGAACTCTTTCCTCCAAACACAGTGTACTGTTCCCTTCCAGAGAGGTAGGAACACAGCCAGTTGGTTATCCAGCTGTCAGTATTGACGCTGATTAACTTGTTAAGTAAACGTTGTCTTGGTATAGAGTCAAAAGCTGAAGTATAGTCCAGAAAAGTACATCGAACATACTTCTTACCCTTTTCTAAGTTGAACACTATGTTGTGATGCAGAACTGCAACAGCATCTAAAGTGCTTCTTTTGCGCCTGTATGCAAACTGGTATGGGTCAGTATGCTCTTTTATCGCAGGCTGAAGTGGAAGTATTAATAAATTTTCCATGGTTTTGAGGAAAGGTGAAGTTATTGCAATAGGTCTAAATTTTACATTCTTATCACCAGATGCTTTCTTGGGTACAGGAATTATCTTCATCTTTCTCCACATTTTTGGTATGAGATTAGATGAGAAAGATCTGTTAAAAATAGTTGTGAACGGATGACACAGAACGTCAGCACATTTTTTAAAAAGAAGGTTTGGGATACCATCAGGACCCAAACATCGAGATGAATTAAGCGACTGGAGACATCCTCGTACATCAGTTTCAGTGAAAGTATGAACACAGCTATTTTTTAAACCCGTGGATAGAGGGAGCATCACATCAGATGACTGACGTATAATTTTCCCAAATCACGATCTTCAATTGGATCTTCTTAGCCTTCTGCTGCTTAGTTTTCCAGTTCTGATTAGTATTACACACTATTTATGACAGTTCATTTAAGTAGCCTACACCATATTACATACTAACTTACTCCTGTTAACCCCCAATGGAGCATAGGTCGCCGACCAGCATTCTCCAACACACTGTCCAGGAATTCCTTTGTACTTTTATTCAATTTTTTGTTCATTTTTCTCATGTTTGTCTACATTTCTCAGTATAATGTATTCTTTAGTATTCCACTTCGCCTTTGGCATATAAGTTTCCGAGTGACGGCTTGCCTTGTGACGAGGTTAGGTGATTTCCTCAATGTGTGTGCTATCCACTCCCAGCACTTCTTACTCATTTCTTCCTCTGCTCGAATCTGGTTTGTTCTCTCCCATAGTAGGTTGTTGCTGATAGTGTCCAGCCAACGGATCTGAAGTATTTTGCGTAGACAATTGTTAATACACTCTTGTATCTTCTGAATGATGGCTTTCGTCGTTCTCCAAGATTCCGCCCCATACAGTAGAACTGTGTTGACTTTTGTAAATGAAATCCTGACCTTGGTATTTGTTGACAATTATTTTGAGTTCCAGATATTCTTCAATTGTAGATATGCTGCTCTTGCTTTGCCGATCCGTGCTTTCACATCTGCATCAGATGCACCGTGTTCATCAATCATGCTGCCGAGATATATAAATGTTTTTACATCTTCCGAAGCTTCTCCGTCAAGTGTGATTTAATTGGTGCGAGTTGTGTTGTATTGAAGAATCTTAACCTTTCCTTTGTTTACGTTGAGACCTACTACTGCCGAGGTTGCTGCTGCTACACTGGTCGTCTTCTCGTGTATTTGTTGTTGCGTGTGCGATAGAAGAGTCAGATCATCTATGAAGTCTAGATTGTCCAGCTGCATCCTAGATATCCACTGTATACCATGCTTCCCCCAGTTGTTGACATCTTCATGACAAAAGAGTCTGAATATTTCCCGATTGTCGTTTAATATCATTAAATCATTTACAGTGGTTACACAATAGTGTAGAACATTTAAAAGAAGGTAAATTTCTTTAATCCACTATTAAAATCAGATGTTCTTTAAAATCAGTCATTTCTCTGATCGGGTGTTTGTATTTGTTGAAGTAATCTCAAACTAGATATAAACAAGTTCTCATTACCATTTAAATCGTAGTAATGACGGAAAGTGTTCGGAAAATTGAATTTTATGGCATTATACTTCACTGGTATTATTGATATTGTGTCATAGGTCTTCACTCTAGGAAATGTGACTAGTTTACTCAGAAAAATACATTTAGCATTGTTGAATGCGAATATCCTTTTAATACATTAACTGTGATTTATGATTTGACACTATTCAGTTTTGAAGCTTGGTAACGTTTATTTAATCTAAAAAGAATCATATCATCATTCAGTATAAACTGTAGAATCATCCAAAGCTTGAAGTTGACCTATGAACTGTCAGCATGTTCACAGTTCAGTCAGAAAAACATTAGGAGGGAAGTAGATCTTAAGTTCTGTTTAAACCCATATATAAAGTTAATAGGTACTTCGTCTATTTTCTTAGCTCACTGGGACAGCATTAAATGTCAAGACTTTACTGTTATGTACATATAAATAAATATATATCTGCGCTGAAGTAGTCGCTTACACTAAGTTACGAAATGTCAGTAATGTAAGTTCACATGTTTCATTAAAATTCTTTTTTTTTTGAAAAAAACTTACCCAACAATCCAACAACTGTACCTTCTTCACCAAGTATTTCTAAAGAACCACTACAGACAAAATAGATAAATTGTAATGCATCACCTTGATTAACAAGATATTCACCAGGTGTAGCAAAACGTGTTGTTATTAATTGAGCTAAACATTTAAGACAACCAGGACTGGCACTTTTGAATAAACTCAATGATAATATTTCACGATTTAAATGTAAAGCAATATCACCGCGTAAATTTTCCGGGAATGATTGTAATATCTATGTGGTCAAATGAAACAATAAATGAATGGGGGGGGGCAGAAAAAACGATGACTTATTAGTTAATCATTGAAACAATAGGATATTTGTCATATCCCAATGAGTAGAAAATTAAATTTTTGTATTTTCACGATTTAGTGTAAACTGTTTCTGCAGCGAGTAATTGTTTGAGGGGACATTTTAATCACTAGATGACTACAGTCGGGTTTCTATTAGAAATCTTTGTGTAACTAAGCAGTTGTTTGCTCTTAGTTTTTGACTTCCTAGCAGTATGAATCCACAGCTTAATATACGATCAGACGGAAAGCTTTCAACTGTCGCAAAAAAATATTAGAATACGGTAATTATTCACCGTAGTCTGGTTTTCAATGGAATATGAACTACGCTGATTATATTATATGTACTGAATTATCTGTGTTTTATCCAGTCTAAAATCTTGAATGCTCAATTCTGAAGCAATCCATACCAGGGCTAAACATATATATATATATATATATATATATAGGGATATTCCGAATCTCATTAAATGTCTATAAAAGAATCCTATACGCATATCTTGTGATAATTACAAAATCCTAACAGTTTAAAATAAGTTAACTGACTTCATCATTAATTTGGTTTATTTCTCTATAGCCTCACCTCATTAAGCTATAAATAAACGTATCGGTGAGACTATAATTTAAGGATGACCTTTGAACAACACAGAAATAACCTTGAGAGTGTTCACCTAATAACTGTAACCAAATGAGGGTTATAAACCAATGTGAGGAATTAGGACTGTGATTTACAGTTGATGATTTGGGTTAGAAATTAGATTTAAGGTTTTCATCACGAACTGACATTAACTATAATGCCAAAACTCTATTTCACCAAATGGATGATTGAATTTCGCACCAAAATCCGAGATCTGTTTCCTTATACCTGATTGGTTCATTCATAAATGATAGTTTTGTCACAAATGTTATACATTCATTGGATTAAACATCATAAATCTGTTCAAATAATTAAATCTGGTTGAAATGAATATTACTATTCAGTATTATTATTATTGCAGTTTAAACAGTTGAGATCATGAGTCGATTGAAGCTAGACCACCATGGAAAACCTAGGAGCACTGGACGGCCGTTTCGTCGCAGGATTCGAACTCAGCACCTATCAGTCTCGCTCCAGGCGCTTAACCAACTAGATCACTGAGCCGGCCGGTATCCAATAGTGTTAATGTCTAACTTCAGCTAATCCACGAAATCGAGCGACACATCCACCATTGTCATCAGTGAGTTACTACCTCACAACTGATCCGGTTGAACTCCACTGGTGGATGTGCACTGCTGAAGAGTCCTACAATAGGACGAAACGGCCGTCCAGTGCTTCCGGGTTTTCCATGGTGGTCTAGCTTCAATTGACTCATGATCTTATCTGTTTAAATTACTACAATCTCCACAAAACCCCTTCTAATATTATTATTGTTTTGATCAAACTTACAGCTTCTTTATCTATACCACGATTAATTGCCCACATAGCTTGAAAAAATTCAAGCATACGTTGTTTTAAAGGTTTCGGTATATGATGAGCACGTGTAAAATCTTTTAAATCTTGATTCTTTGTTTGATATGCTGAACGTCTTGAATACATACGTTGAATAAGTGTTGTCACATTACCGAATACTGCTGCATGCATAAGAGCTGATCGAATTAATTAAAAAAAACAAATTTGTTAAATAAAAATTTGTGGAAAATTATTAATTTAAATATAGTTAGAAGGAGATTTTATGAAGAGCGGTTCAGTGAATTGTAGTTACTTATTTACTGACTCCTGTCAACCCTCATGGAGGAGCATAGATCAACCACCAGCATTCTACATTCAACTCGTCTTTGAACAATCCTTTTTAGTTATTTTCAGTTACTATTCATCATTTTCATGTATACTTTCAATTCTTTGGTCTTCCAATTTTTCCTTTACCTTCAGGATTCCAAATTAGAGCTTGCCTCATGATTTTTTCAATGTATATCCTATCCACTTCCATAGTCTTTTCCTAATTTTCTCTTCAGTTGGAAGTTGGTTTGTTTTCTCCTACAGTAGTTTGTTTCTAATGCTATCCGGTCAACGGATATTAAGTATCTTGTATAGACAATCGATTATAAATACCTGTATTTTATTGATGATGGTTGTAGCTCTTCTACGGTTACTACCGGTGCAAAGCCCATCTAATGGAAGATGGTTGGACATGCCATCAGAAATCTCATCTCGTAGTAAACAACCTTGTTAAAAAAAACTCTAACCAGAATAGATGAATAGTAGTTTCTCTACATTAAAAACGAATCGAATTTGAAATTGTACCATTAGACATCAACCTAGTTAATTTTAATGTTTAAGTGTTCACTATAAAACTTAAAGATCCAAGGTTTGATTCATCGTAGGTTATTAGGTACACTATACTGAAAGATTCTATACTATAACTAAATGTCTATAAACTGCTTCCTGGTTTCCCGAATGAGATCTAGTTATGGCGTAAAATCCTACATCTTTAGTTAAATACTGTACGGAAATCTTATTTAAATCTTTAGAAATAATATTCATCACAAAAGGAATATGAAATCAATCAATAAATAAAAACTCCATGAAGTTCATTGAATTGTATCTACGTGAATCGATATCATGATACCCTTTGTGAATTATCTACAATAATGTCCACTTGTGTGAATAAAATATTCATAACAGTATAGTAACTATCCTATAATCAATTTCGATTATGGTTCATTTTGTTTTTAGCCCTAATTTTATTAACTTCCTTAACAACAGACAATGTTATTTGAACAGTAACAATTTGTCTATTTCTTAGAGCGCATGCCAGACTCTGGTTAAAATGTTGAATATTTAAATATCACTTGATGATTCATTCCTTCCCCATGGATATATGTACTTAAATCTTATTATTAGCTTTTACTTTGACTTATTGCACCCTCATGCACTTTGACTATAAATTTATCTACGTATCTGTTCCTATATATATATATTCGCCTCTTTGCTTCAAATTCGCTTGATGTGCTTATAGCTTTGTCATCTGCTCAATGCTCTAATAAAAATATATAGTTGCCACTTCTTATTACTTTCTGATTTTAAACATCGTTAAGATGTATATAATAACGGTTACACAAGGGTGATTGATTAACGAAGCAAAGCTACTACAACAATTCGAATTGTCAGTAAATTGATGGGGATTTTACAATGTCATACGTGATAAATACTCAATGAAAATCAAGAAGCACTAAATAGCTGTTTCCTTCTGGTCCCAAACTACTAAAAAGTGTCCATTCACGACCCCGTTGCCAAGGTCTACTAGTAAATACTCATTCAATACAAATTCATTCTTATCGATCATACCTATTGATACTTCAAAGAGAGAGGAGTGATTTCTTTTAAAAGATTTACCTAGTATCATCAATAGAATTCGATCATTATTAAAGGATTAAACAATCATGGGATTGGTTACTGTTCATTGGTCAATTCATTGTATCATTCATAAGATTTATTGTTTTTCTCTACAGTTTTTGATATTGACATGAGATATATTTCTTTGACGATTATCAATACAAAATTATTAAACAACGGCCTAGGAGTTTTCTTTATTGATTTTGCTGACAATTCTAGTATAGAGTGATAAATCTTAAGCGATCGTTTATATAAATGTAAGTGATAATTGAACTGGGAATTATAAGGTTTATCTGTTACATGCGTATAGCTGTATACAATAAACATATAAATGGATTATCAAGTAAAAGTAATCAACTTAGAAGCACTGGACTGGGGTTTTGTCCCAGTACGGAACTCCTAAGCAGTGTGTGCATCCATGATCACGCACGCTGGATTCGGATCCAGAACCTTCAGTCTCGTGCACGAACGCCTAACCTCTGAACTGTTAGGCCAACATCCAACGGTGTAAATACTTAACTTCAACCAGACTGTTTTTACGGTTTGTTGTAATCACTAGAATAATTGTTACAAATCCCTAGAACTGAGCATTACTGCCATTTTTCATGACTTAAATAAGAAAACAAAGATTGGTTCAAAAGGAGATTTTGTTGACTGTCAAAAATTCGTTAAGTAAACACAGAAAAGTACACTTATTTACAAAATGATTTTACATACACTTAATGACTAGTTAATAGAGATCATATATAGAGGAAATACAGAAAATTTCTACGACAAACCATGTTGTTAAGATTACCAAACAAAGTTCCAAGTGATTTAATACAATCTGTATTATGTTGAATTGGAGAATGCTAGTCGGCGGCCTATGCTCCATTTGGAGTAAAAGGTGTAAGTAAACTAACTAAGTAAGTAAGTATTATGTTGAGTAAACATTAGACATCAACGTTATACAAAACATTACCCTGAATAATCGTAATACTAAATTGAAAACGAATGTTATATTTAACAAAAATCACCAAGGTAGAAGACGTAATCACACCTTTTTTATTGTGTAATAGTTTTCTAGATATACTGAAAATAGTGAAAGTTTTTCACAGATTAATAATCCAGTATATATTTGCTATCATCTCTTAATAATGATTAGTTAGGGATTTTATATTTGTGATTCATATATTGGATTTATAACTCCGCCCGGAGCCCCTCCAAGGGCTACTGCCTGCCACAAGCCCGGACAAAGGAGGAGGGTTGGGCATGGGTTTAGCGGACCCATCCTGTAGAAAACTAACTCGCTAAAAAAATGCTAACCAGAAAAAAATTTATATTGGATTTGTTCTGATTAAAGATATTGTTATATCCGGATGAAGAATAAGTGAATAGTAACCATTAGAATCTATCTATGAACTATTATTATATATATTCTTAACTATTAAATTCACCTGGTGTTTAGTTGTATCTTCCTATTGTTATTTAGGACTGCAATCGATCAGTCACTTGTTGGCATATGTACATCCTGTGCAGATTGCCTCGATATTACATTAGATCACAAGCTTTATAAGCAAAGATGGATAGTGGCTAGCAGTGAAACACAGGACGCGTGTTTCGTTCTATTTAGAACTCTGCAATTAAATGTACTTGCACCTCAGAGTTGATGTCCACTCCAGGACTCGGACTCAGTACCGTTTACTTCAAATGCCATCACGTTATCCACTTAGCTACTGAATCCTGATAGTCAGCTATTGAATAAGCTTGTGGCTGCTAGTTTACGTGCGAGACTTAAAGAAACAGAATAAAACATCACTTATTTTTTCTTTGTTGTTGATTACTCTATCTTAAATAACAATGGGAAGATACAAGTAAACAATACCAAGTTAATATAACTTCAACCCATTACACAAGTAGGTGGCTATTATGACTCAGTAGCTAAGTGGAAAACGTGATGGCGTTTGAAAAGAACGGTACTGGATTCAAGTACCATAGTGAATATCAAATCTGCAATGCAGGTACATCCAGCTGACAAGCCCCGAATAGGACGAAACGCGTATTCATCTTTATTAAGTAATCATATTATACGTATGTTTATATTCCTTTTATTATAACCTTCTATTTGACTCATTGACTGTTATTGTACGATTTACAATTCTTAAGGTATTCCCAATTTATCAGTTACTGTCTTCTACAATCACAGCAACTTTTTGACTTGATCTTGTACAATTGTTTTATTGTTTATTTTATGGAATAATATCGTCTGGTTTGTTTGTATATAAAACCAGAGTGTCTGAGATATATGATTCGTATAACGGAGGCTGATATTGGTATTCTGAACTAAACCGGTTGGTTTAGGCGATAAGCTACTATCTCGAAGAACTCAAAGATGAATTAGGACTACTCGTACTGGTTTGTGTGTCATTGATCTGGTCATATAAATCAGTGTGTTAATTGGCGATCTTATCATTTGATCATTATTAGGCCATAAGAACATATTGAATATAACATTTTACTAAAGTTCCATCTAAAAATAAGTCATATCTTAAGTGGTTAGAACTAATCGACAGGAAACGTTTTCGATTAACTTCAACCATCAAGCATCTCAACTCAATGATCAATCTGTTAGAAAACAAAAAGAAATGTATATTTAGTGTTCAGTTTCACATTCTCTATGAATCATTGAAATGAAGTTTTACGATTTAGTTAAGTAAGTACTTATATTTCATGAAATCTTAATAGATTTTCCTTTTTTGAAGAGCTAGACACAAATATTAAAAGGAAATCTTAATTCGTTGCAATATACATATTATTGATAATCTCTAATGAACATATATTCTATCATACATGTTAGATTTAAAGAGGAAATAGGTTGTAATTGATAAAGAACTGTTGTGAATTAGGTAAAGTTATTAGATTGAGATCATGAACCGATTGATGTTAGACTACCATTGAAAAACACCTGAAAGCCTATACTGATAATTAGCATGTGCTCACTGGTGACTAGCTTCGTGAGAAATTTCTCGGAGTTCTGGTGAGAAGCTGTGACCAGTGGAGCTAATACGTGTCGGGTAGAGACAGGTATCTAGTTCAGGAAAATGGAAGATAGTGGTGCAATTTTGTGGACTGGTTGATGTTAGATACTAACACCATTAGATGCTGACTCAGTGGTCCAGTAGGTTGTTATATTATAACAATTTAAATGTTCGTTGTTAAATTCGATTGATTTTGACGTCAATCAGTCAATTGGTCAGTAACAACGTAGAACTTC